AGAAATATTTAAAGAGGATAAATCATTAATATTTCAAGAAAAATTAGGTGGCACTTCTATTCAAAATAGAGATTATTCGTTAAAAACTTATGATTGGTGTAAGAAACATTCAAATTGTCGATGTGATTTTTTTGATATAAATCAAAGATGTGATAACCGTGATTCTACTTGTGAATGAAAAATTGCAGCTTGGGGAAGAGGTACTTTACCAAAAGAAGTTGTTGGTCTATTCGAATTTGGAGAATTCAGAGAAATTGAAAAAAGTTTTACCAAAGCTTATAGAGAAAAAAAAGATATAAAAGAACAAAAGTTTGAAGATATGGAAAGAATAGACAAAATGTTAATGGATAATATTTCTTCTGAAGATATCATAAAAAATCTTAAAGAATTATTTCCACGTTCTTTTTTAAGAAGTTTACAAGACTTAGAATATTTGGAACATAAAATTTGACAATTAAAAAAGAAAGATTTAAAAAGATTCTGGCGTCCTGTAACTTTTTATCTTTATGGTCCAGGAGGAAGCAGAAAATCTGGTCTTGTAACTGAATTATTTAGAGATCAATTATATGATCAAAAACCTAAAAAACAACAAAGTTCCTGGTGGAATGGTTATTGTGGTCAAAAAATGGTTCTTTTAGATGAGTTTTATACAAAAATTGATTGGAATGATACAGTGAATCTTTTTAATGATATGTCATATTCAGTAGAGATAAAATCAAAAGGATTCGAACCATTTTTAGCAAAATATATTTTTTTAACAGCAAGAAAACCTCCAGAAGAAGCTTATAATTTTGGTAGAACACATAATAATAAGGAATCAACACAGCATGATTGGGGCCAATTTGAACGTCGTTTAGATTATATTATTGAATTTATTGGTAAATGGGATGATGATATTAAAAAACGTACAACAGAAATTATATTTCACAAAGGTGATGAAGAAAAGTTTCGTAATTTTGAATGGGATGTGAAATATAGAAATGGTGAAAATACAATTCAAGAATTGATAGAAAAAGGCAAAAAAATAAATGGAGATAATGGTGAACATATAATTGATGGTGAAGAAGTTTATTGACGTCAAAACTTCTCAGAATTTAAGAAAAATTATTTGAGAGATTATCCAAATTGTAAAAAACTTTTTAAATATCGAGAAGATTTAGAAGCAAATAGCCAACAAAATATTAAAGATAAT